GCCTTGAGCCGAAAAATCTCAACACAAGTTGTATGTGGACTCATGTGGACTGGGTTGTCTTCATGTGGGCATTTCATTTCAGAAGAAAAGTAAGAAATGGGCGAAACAGGCTGGACCCCAACTGGGGGAACATCCATTGAATTTTGCAAGTAAACAATGCCTGGAACCATCCAGGGATGATGCCCTCTGCCCAAGAATGATAGGTCGTGGTCTCTCTATCTGCACAGCACAACCAGAAAGGCCACTTAAAGTGAAGTCAATTGTTGAGCAAACAAACGCGTGTCTGATTGAGGTCCTCTGCTTATCGTTTTCTCGGGTGCAGAACCGGTAGCGGGTATGGAGCTCAACCAAATCCTCCTTGTCGTATGGTGCCTGTGTCATTTTGCGCGTTGCAATTTCATATGTTTCATTGGGATTGTGCAGATTGTTCATGGACTCTACGCGCTTTTCCGTAACGACTAGACTTGTACATATTTGTACCATCCCTTTACCAGATCAGACTTTGGGTGGCATCTTTTCCAACATACCTCAATGGCAACATCACGAAGAACAACTGCTACTTTAATGCTGGTTTCAGTAATACTCATGTTGTCAACTTTCAAACCCCGGAATAAAATGGAATAAAATGGAATAAAATGGAATAAAATGGAATAAAATGGAATAAAATGGAACAAAATGGAATAAAATGGAATAAAATGGAATAAAATGGAATAAAATGGAATAAAATGGAATAAAATGGAATGAATGAATAGACCAACCCCAGCAATAAATGAATAGACAAATTTCATACCTTATTCTCACACGCCACTCTTCTGATGAACTTGAAAGAAAGTTGCTGCCGCTGAAAGGAATCACTGCAAGAAACTGATTGACACTTGAAGACCTGACTCGCGCAGCTCTTTTGACAAATGGGTTTTTGTGGGTAGGAAATTGTTTGGGGATTTTTTTTTTTTTAGTTTGGGGAATTTTTTTTGGATTTCCGGTTCTCACCATTTTCCATGCTATTTGCAGCATTTTGGAGCTGGAAACTGCCATTTCCACGGTATGTGCGACGGTTTTGAGTTCGAACCTCTCATTTTCCATTGTATTTTCCACGGTATTTGCAACAGTTTGCAGCATGTTCTGTCCATTTTCCATGCTCTTTGCAGCATTTTTGAGATGGAATCTGCATTTCCACCGTATGTGCAACATTTTACAGCTACATTCCTCACAGTACTTGCAGGATTTTGGAGCTGAAGGCTGACATTCCAACAGTTGTTTGTTGTTACTGTTACTGTTGTTGGTGTTGGTGTTGGTGGTGTTGTTGTTGTTGGTGTTGTTGTTGTTTTTTTAAACCGTTAGTGTTTGTTAGTGTTGTTATGGTTGCTAGTGTTCGTGTTGTATTGTTTGTTTAGTGTTGTTATATATATATACAATATATATATACAATATATATATATAATATATATATACAATATATATATATATATATACAATGTATATATATATATATATTCTAACCAAAGTAGTGTATTGAAATGTGTGCAAGCTTGAATTTAAATAAAAAAAAGCGGGAGGGGGGGATTGGGGGGGACGGCGCAGCGCCTCCCCCCCAAAGCAGATTGGAAACACCTATTTTCACATGCAAGGTGCTAGGTTGAATGTGATACTCAAGGTGTATATACTACACGACATGCACCTTGGAAACATGTGGAATGTAGGTTAAGGCACAACGATGCACAATAGTTTCATTTGATGTTATCATCGAGTTGGTTTAAGATCTATTTATATAAGGTGTGGTTCAGGGTTGGCTTGGGGTTTAAATATCATCCGCATGATAATGCAAACCTTTTAGGTAGATATATATATATACAGATATATGTATATATATAGATATATAGATATATAGATAAATAGATATATAGATTTAAAGATATATAGATATAAAGATATATGTATATATACATATAGAAATATAGATATATACAGATATATAGATATATGGTGGTATAAATATATATATAGAGAGAGAGATATAGATATATAGAGATATTTATATAGATATATAGATATATAGTATATATATAGAGAGATATAGATATATAGATAGATAGATAGATAGATAGGTAGATAGATAGATAGATTAGATAGATAGATAGATAGATATAGATATATATAGAGATATATAGAAATATATAGATATATATATAGAGATATATAGAGATATATATATAGATATATATAGATATATATATATATAGATATAGATATATATATATATAGATATAGATATATAGATATATAGATAATTATATAGATATATGATATATATAGATATATAGATATATAGATATATAGATACAGCCATAGATGTAGATATAGATAGATAGATAGATAGATAGATAGATAGATATATAATTAGATAGATATATAGATAGATAGATAGATAGATAGATAGGTAGATAGATATATAGATAGATAGATAGATATGTATATAGATATCTAGATATAGATATATATAGAAATATATAGATATATATATATATAGATATATATAGAGATATATAGAGATATATATATAGATATATATATAGATATAGATATATATATAGATATATATATATAGATATATATATAGATATAGATATAAAGATATATAGATAATTATATAGATATATGATATATATAGATATATAGATATATAGATACAGCCATAGATGTAGATATAGATACAGATATAGATAGACATAGATAGATATAGATACGTAGATATAGATAGATATAGATAGATATAGATGGATATAGATGGATAGAAGATGTTGCTCCACACCTCATGGAAAAGCAAAAAAGCAAAGAAAAGCAAAAAAGCAAAAAAGCAAAGAAAAGCAAGAAAAGCAAAAAAAAGCAGAAAAGCGAGAAAAGCAAAAAAGCAAAGAAAAGCAAGGAAAGCAAAAAAGCAAAAAAGCAAAGAAAAGCAAGAAAAGCAAAAAAGCAAAGAAAAGCAGAAAAGCGAGAAAAGCAAAAAAGCAAAAAAGCAAAAAAGCAAAGAAAAGCAAGGGAAGCAAAAAATCATGGGTTCCCGAACATCCCCCTAGTCAAACCCCCCCCTAGTGTAGGTTTTTTTGAGCGATTTCAAATAGCAGCTAATAGCTGCTAATAGCTTCTAATAAGCCTTATTAGCTGCTAATAAGGTTTATAAAAATTTGATGTTAATAAGGCTTAATAGATAAAAATAAGGGTACCTCTCTTGTCAATTTTTTTAATAGTTGAATAAGAGAAAATGGTCCCGTTGAATAAGGATGTTGAGCCGAAGTTGTCAAATTAGAATAAGGCGTTGAATAAGAAATCCAAATTGATGGTGATTGTTGAATAAGAGAAAATGGTCCCGTTGAATAAGGATGTTGAGCCCAAGTTGTCAAATTAGAATAAGGCGTTGAATAAGGTTTTTGTATAAGGAAGGTTGAGTTGAATAAGAGAAAATGATCCCGTTGAATAAGGATGTTGAGCCGAAGTTGTCAAATTAGAATAAGGCGTTGAATAAGAAATCCAAATTGGGGGCGATTGTTGAATAAGAGAAAATGGTCCCGTTGAATAAGGATGTTGAGCCCAAGTTGTCAAATTAGAATAAGGCGTTGAATAAGGTTTTTGTATAAGGAAGGTTGAGTTGAATAAGATAAAATGGTCACGGTTCCGTTGAATAAGGATGTTGAGCCCAAGTTGTCAAATTAGAATAAGGCGTTGAATAAGGTATCCAAATTGGGGGCGATTGTTGAATAAATAGAAAATGGTCCTGTTGAATAAGGGTGTTGAGCAATAGTTCTCCGTTGAATAATTTTCTAGGATGTCCTCGACTAACAAAATGTATTGTTGAATAGTTGAATCAAGATTAGCCATATGGAGCGGGGAATGGTTTTCCTGTTCACATCTCTTTATTTCTCTTTCTACCCCATGTTTTTTCAAGAGAAAGAACACACAATTCTTAAATGAACAAAATAAGCTACACAATGGGCTAATAAGCACTAATAAGCCCTAATAAGCAATAAAGGCACCAGGAAACCAGCAAGGCAGGGTTGTGCAGGCTTTTCACCCTTGGAGAAAAAGCATTGCTGAGCATGAATAATCACTAATAAGCATTAATAAGAACTATCAGGTTTGGCAGGATCATGAATCTTCCTTCCCACAAACCTCTCTCTCCCTCCAAGAAACCGTCCCGCCAACAAACATCTTCCGCCCTTCCTCCTTCCCACAAACCTCTCCCTTCCTTGGGATTCTAGCCCTTATTAGTGTTTATTGGGCATTATTAGTGCTTATTAGTGCTTATTTGACCTGATTTGTATCTAAAATGCTACTATTTCTTCTTTTTGTAACAATGTGTCAAAATTCTTGAAAATTTCGAGAAAAAAACACCCAAAATTCTTGGAAATTTCTTCAAAGTCATGTTTTTTTTTTTTAATCATGAAATTTCCTTGAAATTTCATCCCTTTGGGAAACCTCTCCCTCCCTCCCATCATCCAGTCTCATGGTGCCTCTACTCCTTATTAGTGCTTATTAGTGCTTATTTGGCCTTATTTGGATCGAAATTGCTACTATTATTTTCAATAATATTTCAAAATTCTTTCAAATTTCTGACATTTCCCTAAAATTCCTTGAAATTCCTTCAAATTCATGTTTTTTTTTTCGAATCATGAAATTTCCTTGAAATTTCATCCCTTTGGGAAACCTCTCCCTCCCTCCCATCATCCAGTCTCATGGTGCCTCTACTCCTTATTAGTGCTTATTAGTGCTTATTTGGCCTTATTTGGATCTAAATTGCTACTATTTTTTTCAATAATATTTCAAAATTCTTTCAAATTTCTGACATTTCCCTAAAATTCCTTGAAATTCCTTCAAATTCATGTTTTTTTTTTTCGAATCATGAAATTTCCTTGAAATTTCATCCCTTTGGGAAACCTCTCCCTCCCTCCCATCATCCAGTCTCATGGTGCCTCTACTCCTTATTAGTGCTTATTAGTGCTTATTTG